CGACATTCTAATTTATTGAGATGCACCTGAATGTCTTGCAATATCCGTGTGTGCAAAGGTTCTGCGCAATCCTCTTGTTCAATATTCTCAGGGTCTGAATCCGGCTCAAATATTCTTTATAAAAGTTAAGACTCGTCTATGCCCTCCTAAAACGGCTCGTTCTAACACGCCCCCACATATCTACATCACTATGTGGGAAGCAAAAGAGGACATGACTAGAAATCAGTGGTTAAGTTGTATTTCCAACATTGTTCCAGAACAGTTCAAGCCAAATATTCAGATGTGTGCAGCGCATTTTACAGAGGACTGGAGAGTAGCCTACAATGCCATCTGTGCACAAAGGTTGTTTCTATAAAGTGGGGCAATTCCAACTTTGCAAGGACAGTCTGGCGCTTCTGACTCACAGTCTGTAAGTACGTATTCATATTTAAAGAATTTGCTACTTACGATTCAAACGCGAGTTTTGAGCAGTGTAGAGTAATAGAGGAGCAACAATAATGTACAGTATGTGGAAAATAATGTGTTTTTTGAATCTTAAACCGCATAAACACATTGCATTACACCAAATACACAAAATAATGTTATTTTTAGCAACGTCATATGACCCCTTTAACTATACCGGATCTGATTACATATGCAAAACTATATTGTCAAAATCAGCTTCTCAGTGGGTTTTCTGAACTAACTAATCAGGCTGGTTTAAGGTCATGTCCAGCAAACACCAATCACAAAGGTTTCTTTGCAAAAGTTGGAGTCCTATGTATGCCACCAGACCAGGGTGTTGTTGTTGTTTTTTTTTTAAAGTTTTTGAATCCCCAAGCAGAATGATGTGTGGCACACTGTTCATAAAATACAAAGACATCTATATATCTATAAAGACGATCTATATTACAGTTTAAAAGTTAGGGGTCAATATTTAATTTTATTTTTTGAAAATAATAATATGTTTTATTTTTTACAGCAACAACAATCATCATCATCATCATCATCATCATCGTCATCAATAATAATAATAATAATAAAAATAATAATGCTTTTCAAAAAATGCTTTTATTATTACTTTTGTAGGATGCATTAAATAGATAAATTTTCTATTTGAAATGCATGCTGGTCTTTTGAACTTTCTATTTATCAAAAAATTCAGAAAAAAATTTATCTTGACTTCCATAAAAATATTAAGCAACACAACCGTTTTCAACATTGATAATGATAAGAAATGTGTCTTGAGCAACAAAGCAGCATATTAGAATGATTTCTGAAGGGTCATGTGACACAAGCTGAAAATTCAGCTTTGCCATCACATGTATATTTAAAATATATTAAAATAGAGAACAGTTATTTTAAATTGTAGTAATATTTCACAATATTACATTTTTACTGTATTTACCAAATATTGATGTGTTGCTCTATTTTTCATCAAATAAAGCATTAGTGAGCATGTTTCTTGTTTCAAAACTTCTTTCAAAAAATTTTTTTCTTATCGACCCTACTTTCTAAATGGTCGTGTAGTGATGGTTCATTATATTGGTCCATTATACGTCATTACATGTAGATTTGATTTAGATTACGTACTGTTAAAAACTTTTAAAACGTACTGTTTTTCTTTCTTTTTTAAAAATAAATATATAAAAATGGGTAAATGAATCAAAAATAATTGTTATACATTTTAATTGACATCTTAATGTAAATTTAACATCAATTAAAATGTCTAACAATTATGTTCAATGCATTTACCATTTTTGATATATTTAATTATATATATTTAATATATTTTATGTATAAATTACATTTTCTTTCTTTCTTTCGTTCTTTCGTTCTTTCTTTCTTTCTTTCTTTCTTTCTTTCCTGTCAGATACAACTGTCTGTTTAGCTCAGATACATGTTATCAGATACCACTATAAATGTATTTAAAATGACATATTCATTGAATAATGAAGTGGGTAGAGTAGTGTGTAGACATTGGATATATGTATTTTTGGCAGATGTATGCTTAAAACAAGTAAAAATTACTATTTTTAGCATAAAAGTATCAAGGTACAGTAGATAATGTAGTTTTTTTTTCTAAAGAGATACAGTTATGAAGGTGCTGGTACCAAAACAAGTGTCCATGTTGCAAAGATCAGTGTTTTGATCCCAAAACACCTTCTAATTCTTCTCTCGAAAGAATGTCACTGCATGACACCTTGTTCAGTGCTCCACACCCCGACTGCATCTCTCACCCACACAAGATTTCATAAGCACACATGAGTAATTTCTGGAGGCAGGAAAGAACACGTCTCTCTCTTCTAAGGATTAACTGTGTACATATGAAAGGCCAGTTCTAATACCTCTGAATGTTTTGAATACTTAGAGGTGCCAAACTGGAACAAAATCATGCATGAGGTCATAATATGTTCTAACCGTCTGTCTAGTAGACACAAGATTGTCAAAAACAGTTTAACTGGGAAGAGCTGTGCACCATCTTGAGTTATTGACCTTTTTGGAGGGAAACAGGTGTTTACAAGACCTTTTGCTGAATGTCTGGCATGAGGAAAGGGGAGTGAAACGTCTTGGACTTCCTGCGAATTGGAAAACAACTGACTCTCTGTAAAAACTGGATGATAAACTTGTCCATTCAGGGTGAAGTCGTGCACCAACTGTTCCTCCCACATGCAGAGGCAGCGAGAGAGTGTTACATACAGGGAAAAGGGAAGCTTCGTTTATATGGTTAGGATACGGTCTCATGTTTCACACAGCTCTTGTGTTTATGTGTGTGTGTGTCAGGGGGAAGGCCAAATCAAGGCAGTTTAGCACTGTCTGATGGGCCATAAATTATTAATTCATAAATATCATGTTTTTGTGGAGTTGCACCACATATTTTGCAACCGGAATTAACCTGCCTTGTCACTGCGAGGTCAAATTATCTGATATTTGAAGAGACAGATATTATATCAGGACAGTTGTATTACCTGACAGTGGTATTTTAGAATAGGCTACTATTTATATACTATTATAGTATGTTATTAATATTTTGAATGAGCTTTTATTTTTCAAATTTTTTTTTTCATTTTAGTTTGAAGGAATAGTTTTAACATTTTAGTTTGAAAATTTACCCTCAGGCCATCCAAGATGTAGATGAGTTTGTTTTTTCATCAGAACAGATTTGGAGAAATGTGGCATTACATCACTTGCTCACCAATGGATCCTCTGCAGTGAATGGGTGCCGTCAGAATGAGAGTTCAAACAGCTGATAAAAACATCACAATAATCCACACGACTCCAGTCCATCAGTTACCATCTTATGAAGTGAAAAGCTATGACTCAAATCCATCATAAAGGTGTTTTAACTTTAAACTGTTGGCTTCTGGCCAAAATATGAGTCCATAATCCATAAACGTTTCCTGCAGTGAAAAAGTTAATCTCCTCTCACAAAATCCACAAACATATTTGTGTAGAACTTCTTTTTTGGAATGTTTTCACTTGTAAACAGTACTTGATCTGTGCATATTTCTCTCCTTATTCAGACAAGGCAACTTTTTCACAGGAGGAAGTGTTATGGATTAAGACTATTTTAGCCGTAAGTAATGGTTTGAAGTAAAACACATTTTAATTATGGATTTGTTTCTTACAAACACGCAGCTTTGCACTTCGCAAGACATTAATCGATGGACTGGGGTCGTGTGTGTGTGTGTATGAACATATCTTTACACACACATTCACACACCCACTCTCTAAAACTTGCCTGTGCAGATGTCCTGTTAAACCCTTACCAACGACAGTAAATCTATGTATCTGTTTCCCTGCCATTTCTGAGCTCAAGGACTTATAATAAATGAACTGGTTTGAAGTAAAAAAGATCCTGTGCTCCCACATGTCTTCAAGTACTTGTCTATTATCTGAACTTGTCTTGGCATGTAACAGGCTCTTGTGTTCAGATTGTAATTCTCTTTAGACAGCACTACCTTCCCCCAGTCTGCAGGTTCTTTGAAACCCAGGAGACAGGATGCGACATGCTCATTCACCTTTTTTATGTCAGGTTATCATCATCACTGACTTGTAACTTTCTAATTATCATGTGACGAAGTTAAACAATATTGCCAATTGGTTCATGACATCTTTATGCATGTTTTAACAGGCAAGTTTGTGCTGTAAAAAATATAATTTATGATAAATGGTTACCTAACAATAACAGTTGATGGTTTAAGGAGATACAAAATGGCATACATAACATGGTTAACTGAGACAAAAATAAGCCTCTTTTGCAAGTAGGCTATGCATTTTTAAACATAATTCATTGCAGTCTCTGTGGTCACTATGATCATGTTTGTTTCAAGCAGTGGCATGATTGTTTTGATTTTTGTCTCTGGAGGTTTTGTTCATGAGCTCAGCAAGTTAGATTCATGTTCCTCACAAAGAACCTTTAATTTGTTTGTTTTTATATCATATTATGATAGTTTATCCTATTTTGTCCTGTTATCCTTCGTTTTCCCCATAAAAACACTTATATGATCATATTGTCACATGAATGGAAGTTCAGTTGGCTCTCATTTAATTTGATTAGCAATAATAAGTCATCATTAAAAATGATTACACACCATAATTTTGAACAACTGTTCTACACTGCAAAAACTTATTTCTTTCAGTATTATTGACTTCTTTTCTTTTCCAGAAAGAATATTTTTCATCATACATTTCACATTCTTAAATGCTTAAACCAATTTTTTTATGATATA